TTGCATTCCTGAGGGTGGGAGGAGAAACAGATACGTGTCTGGGTGTAACAGAATATTTTTCCGGAGAATCTGGTATATCACCCCCGAGACTCGCATCCAGTATTTGCGAATCTCTGGGCATGTCCACCATATGTGTGTAGTTGTACTGTTGGGTTGCTGGCATCTCCAGCATCTATCTGCTGTTGTGGGGAAGAGGTGGTGTAGCTTTGATGGTGTGTAGTGCCATCTGGCTATCCTTTTATAGTTGCGTTCCTGAGTGTTTCTAGAGGTTTTATGTATTTGTCTGAAGATCTTTTTCAATTTACTTCTGGATATCTCCAGCTTTAGTTCCTTTTCCCATGTTGTGGTGAACGTTGGTAATTGGTGAGTGTGTGTTGTTTGGATAGTATTGTACATTAGTGATATGTATTTCATTTTTAGATCTTGGTTGGAGCAGTGCTGTTCGAATGTGGTTTGTGTTCTGTTTTTCCCCTGTGTTAGTAGTCCTGAATGTATGAAGTGTGTTAGTTGGTTGTATTGGAGTTTTTGTATCGCGTTTGGTGATTCAATGACGTTCTGTAGTGGTTTGATCCGTTGTTCCCCAGTCTCATCTAGTAAGTCTCCCAGCGAAAGGTAAGCTTTTGTTTGGAAGGGTTTCAGCTCCTTGCCGTCTACCCCTGGTTGGAAGAGCGGGTTATGTGAGATCGGGTAGAGTGGGGATGGGTGAGGTGATATGTGTGTTTGGTTTAAGGGTTGCCCAGGTCTGCAGGGTGGGAGTGATTGTTGGGTGTGGACCTTTTAGTAGTGTTTGTCCAGTTTTGTGCCATGGGATCGTGTATATTGGTGCTCTGAAGAACGTGTTCTCGATGATCACCCATTGTTTTGTGGGGTGGGTACATGACCAATCATATATTCTAGGTCAGGTGAATTGCTTTATAGTATCTGTTTATATCAGATAGGCTGAGGCCTCCTTCTTCTTTTGGTCTTGAGAGGAGTGTGTATGCTAGTCGAGGGCTTTTGTGGGACCAGATGAAGGTTGTGAATATTTTGCGCACCGCGTTAAACCACGTCTTTGGTATTGTTATGGGGAGTACTTGTAGCATATATAAGACCCTGGGAAGGACGTTCATTTTAAGGATGTTCAGCCTGCAGAACCATCCAAATTGGGGTTTATTCCAGGCTGTAAGATTTGAGTGAATGGTTTTTAGTAGGTTTGGGAAGTTGCTGTCAAAGAGGTGTGACGTATCTCTGGTGATGTGTATTCCTAAGTATTTTATGTTGTGTGGGGCCCACGTAAATAGGTAATCGCGTTTCAATGTTGTTGTGGTGTGTGCCTGCATGTGGATTGGGAGGATTTCACATTTACTGAGATTTGCTTTGAAGTTGGATATTTTACTGTAGGTGTTCATTTCTTCCAGTAGGTGTGGGAGTGAGGCTAGTGGGTTTGAGATTGAGAAAAGCATATCGTCCGCAAATGCGGCTATTTTGTGTTCATGTTTTCCCACCTGTATGCCTTTGATGTTGGCGTTGTCTCGGATTCCCTGAAGGAATGTCTCTAGGCTAATTACAAAGAGCAGAGGGGAGAGAGGACATCCCTGCCTCGTGCCGTTCGAAATTGGCACGCATTCCGAGAGTTGTCCGTTAATCCTAATGTTGGCTGTGGGGTTGGAATATAGTGTTTTTATACATTTTTGCCAATTAGGTCCAAAGCCTAGTGAGTGGAGCGTGTGTATCATTAAGGTCCAGTCTACCCTGTCGAAGGCTTTTTCAGCATCTATGGACAGGAGTAGACTTGGGTCCTTTGTTCGTGTGGCTTGATGCACCAGGTTTATAATTTTTGTGGTATTATTTTTTGCTTCTCTACCAGGTACAAAGCCCGATTGGTCCGTGTGCATTATCCCTGGCAGGAGGGGGCAAAGCCTGTTGGCCAGGATTTTTGTAAAGAGTTTGAGATCTACATTTATCAGAGAAATCGGCCTATAGCTACCGCACTGGGATGGGTCTTTGCCTGGTTTCGGGATAAGTGTAATTGTGGAGTTTAGTGCCTGTGGAGGGAGTGCGTTACCTTGGAGGAGGGAGTTGAATGATTTTGTGAAATGTGGGAGGTTTTTGATAGCATGGCTACATTCTTCTACTGTGATTGGGTGTTCTAGTGTTTCGCTCAGATTGTTTGGTAGTGTGGTGTGTATTCTGCTTGTGAGGAAGCTTTGGATGTCGTGGGCCGATGCGGGAGTTTGTCTTAGGTTGTATAAGGAATGGTAGTATTCTTGAAAAGCTGTGGAGATGTCTGTTACTAAGTGGGAGATGTTCCCTTTATTGTCCCTTATGGGAGGTATGAAAGTGTTTTCTCTTTGTTTTTTAAGTGCGTTGGCCAGCAAGCGCCCGCTCTTCCCTCCCTGTGCTTCGTGTCTTTGCTATAGCATACTTTGTGCGTACGTTTAAGATGGTATTGAGTTCTGTTCGTTTCTCTAAGAGTTGTTTGTAGTTTGATAGTGTGTTGTCTTGGGTATGTACTTCTTCTAACTCTCTAATTTCTTTGGTTAGTCGTGTAACTTGTGCCTCGCGTTGTTTTTTGTGTCGGGAGGCTATTTGTATGATTGTTCCTCTAATAGAGCTTTTATGGGCTTCCCATATAATTGGGTATGGTGTGTCTGCCTTGGTGTTTGTTTCGAAGTATTGAAGTAAGTTTTCTTTGATTCGGGTTTGTATTGCTTGGTCGTTTAATAGAATGTTGTTTAACTTCCACTGTGTTCTAGTGGGGTGTAGAGTGGGGATTGTTATTGGGGCATATTCACAAGTTTTGATGAGGTTCAGGAATCTATGTGGGGTAAATATCATGTCTATTCTAGAGTATGTTTTTGACGAGTGAGTAGAATTAGTAACTTCTGCTGTTGGGGGGGTGTGATTCGCCAGGTGTCATAGAGTTGGTGTGTGTCTAGATGTTTTTGTATCTGGTTCCTCGTTGAAGCCTGATATGTTTGGGCCTGAGAAGTGGTGTCTAGCCTCCCATCTATTGAAACATTAAAGTCCCCTCCCAGAATTAGCAGTCCTTCTGTGAATATATCTAGTTTGTGGAGTATTTTGCGTAGGGTGGGTGTTTGTTTCCTGTTGGGGAGGTAGATATTGGCGAGGGTTGTGATGGTGTTCCCTATTTGTCCTTTTAGGAAGACGAACCTGCCTCCCGCATCTGAGTAATGGTCTTTGTATGTAAAGGGTAGTTGTGAAGAGAGGAGGATCGCCACCCCTCTTGATTTTGAGCCTCCATAGTTGCTAAAGAAGCTTTTGGTATAGAATTTTGATCTAAGAGTGGGGACTTTGCGGAAGTGCATTTCTTGTATATATATTATATCTGCTTTCTGCCTTTGATAGTCTGTGAGTGCCTTGTGGCGTTTCTCGGGCGTATTGAGGCCTTTGGCGTTATGTGTTAAAATTGTTATAGTTGCCATGGTTTTGTTGGGGTACGTGTTATGTGGTGGGATGGATGTGGTCCAGGTGAGAATTTTTGTTTTTTTAGTACCGACTGTTCCTACTCGGCTTTGTATACCTTTTGTTCGACCCTTGGTTCAGCAAGTTTACACAATCATATACAATACACAGCAATGAGTGGATTATTCTCGCCAAACAGTGATTAAAACAATACTAATTAAAGCAATAGAAATGAAAACAATAATATTAATATATGAACAGATAGACCGTTGGTGTTTCCCTACTGGTTGTCTCTTGAGTTGTCGGTCAACTATATACAGTGATTAAATACAAATGTGTATCTGATAAAGAGAGATGCCTGAATTCGGAGGGATGTCCCTCGTTGGTGACAATAGCCCCTGAGATGTCCCAGTATCTGCAGCGGGCTAAGATATAATGACACCGTGTTTGGTGTTGGCGTGGAAGTTTCTGTCTTTGTGTGTAGTGTTGAGTTTGACAGTGTTTTAATGATTACAGTCTATGTTATGGCGGTGTTGTTCGTTAGCTGTTTGGAAGGAGCTTGCGGGTGAGACTGCGTGTTTTGTTTGCAAGTTTATAGGAGGATATTTTTTTAGATAATTTGGATGTAGTGGTGATTTGGGTAGATTGTGGGGATCTGTGTGTTTTGTTTGTAATCCCAGATGGTTTGTAGTAATTATTATTTTTTTTTAAATTAACGCTTCTGTGTGACCGATGGAGGTTATGTAGCAGGGTGCGATAGCTTTCTATGTGCTCATCGTGTGTAGGCTCTATGACTTTGGTGGGGTGGCTGAATTTTGGGTTGTGTGTGTTTCGTGTGCCTGTGTCTAGTTCTTTTGCCTATCAGGTGACCTTGCTTTAACGTGTGTAGGTCATGTGTGTTTTCTTTCACTGTTGTTCGGGTGTGGTTAGGTTAGTGACCTCTCTCAGTGTCACCTTCTGAGTGCCTGTAGAGTTATCTTGGATTGAGTGACACTATGCGTGTCCTTTTAACATACACGAAGACAGTAACAAAACATATATACGACCTGTACGTGGGATCTTCCTTTTGGGTTGTGTTTTTGTTTGTTTTTTCAGGTCCTGCATCGTTCTTCAGCTTGGGTGTCCAGGTCTGTATGTGTTAACAGTGGTAGTCTCTATAACTGTCCCAGTTGATGTACGTCCCCTGGTATATTTTTTTTATTTTTTTTGCGGTCATCTCGTTCAGTTGCGTCGTTCTTTGTATTGTGTTTTGTCATGTCCATATGGGATTTTCTTTGATAAGTCCTGTCGGTTTTCGGTGATCCTTCAATATTGATAGTTATTGCTCGCTTCAGGTATCATGTGGACCTTTACCGACAAAAGGTCACTCCGGGTCATTCTAAGCTTAGTGTGTCTTTATGCAATCTATAGCTGTATACGGAGCAGACCCTTCCGTTCCCAAATTACTTATAAATACTGTTTTAACCATTCTAGATGATAACTTGACTATCACTAAAATAATCCAGTGTCTGAAGACCCAAAAGGCACTGTAATAATATTGTAATAAATGAAACAATGACTCAAATAAATATAAGATAAAAGTGTATTGAATGAATGTTACAGAATGCAAAAAATAGTCAGTAAATAATTAATCTTACCAAATGTATTAGTGGCTACAGCATATGTCCCTGTTTACCTTTCAGATGTGTGGTGACAGCAGGCAGAGTAAGAGTAGATGAATGAATGAATGAATGACAACGTCATACTCTTTCTCCTTCAGTTAAATAGCCATTTTTTCCCTCCATAATGCAGCCCCCACCTGTGTAATACTCCCAAAAAGGTTTTCTAACTTGTTGCATGATGTAATGTATTGAATATCTAAGTTTGGGAAATACCCTAGATGACTCTGCCTATAGTTAGCTTCAAAATTAAGTGAAGTGTTTTGTATACATTTGACTGACAACACATGTGTTTGTTCTAATTTAACTTCAACCTTTTAGCTGTTAACCTTGTGGAAATGTCATTGAAAATTTAACTTTTTCAAATCTAAGCAAAAGGCCTGCAATATTTCATACACCTATTTTATACAGCTAAATGTACATTCATATTAGATATATATAGCCGAATGCGGTTCCATGCGAATGGGCCCTGCGGTCGGTCCTGGAATAAGGGAACAAATTGCACGAAAGCCTCTAGCTATAGAGGCTAGGGAGGGTTCGCCTGAATCCCCTCGTTCGGTTCTTTCTATCTACCGAACGACGGGCCGTTTGGTAGTTAGGAACCGAACGGACCGGGCTTGTGGAGGATTCAGCGGTGTTCACCTAGTCGAGTGTCCGATTTGAGTTCCAGACACTCGACGGCAAAACACCGCTGTTCGGGAGTTTTAAAATGGCCGCCGCCACGTGTTCGTTTGTCGAATGGCGGCCACCCCCGAGAACAAAGGATGGCTACTTCCCTTGTCAATTCCCAGTTCGCAACAATGTTGCAACGGGTAATTGAGAACACACTTCACACAGGGGAGGTCTGACTGTTCGGTAGTTTCATTCGAACAAACCAAGGGAATGAAACTACCTTACATTCAGACGAATCCAATACATTTACACATATAACTTAGCTATTTCACACAAATACATTCCCTTACTGCAAAGACATTTACCAAATAGACGACAGTTTAAACATAATGTAAGTCCCAGGGCAGTGGCCCTCCGCTACAGGGTGGTTAGCTGTTCTTTTAAATTTTCTTTGTCTGCTTCTGGTAACCCCCTAATGCACAGGTTGTTTCTCCTACCCCTGTTATCAATATCATCAAGTGCTCTCTGGAGTATGGATAGGTGCCTCTCCTGTGTGGTGAGTGCATGGGTGATGTCTTGCAATTTTGTCTGACATGTGCCCCTGTCATCTTCCAGTTCCTGCACCTGTCTGCCTACCTGCCTAATTTCAGAGCTCAGGCCCTCCATTTTGAGTTGGAAGGTGGTTTCCAGCTTGCCTAGCATTTGTCCTAGATCCATTCTGGACGGTAGGTTTTTGAGTATGTCCTTTATGTCCACATCCACAGAAGTGTCTGTGTGTATTGTAGGGATTGATTGGTTGTATTTGAAATCCCTGTGGGCAGTCCTATGTTTGTGGATTGTGAATAAAAGAGGCTGTATGTGCCAGTACAGGCAGTTCTGCTTGACCTCAAAATGAAGTGTTGTCTCAATATCGGAGGAATTTGATTGTATGCTGATTGCCAGGAGTGTAAGCTTATTGTATGCTTTTCCTGTCTGTTCAGCTGCTTACAGCATCCAAATGCTTGAGAGCATTCATATGCTTTTCCGGTTCGGTGGTTGTGGTGTCTGCTGCAGTGCTTGGAGTCCTCAGGAAGCACTAGGAGCATCCTTCAATGGAGGTACCCAGTCGGGGTGCCAGGAGATCTGTTACAGATGGTAGCGGATTTAATGCACAGGGGGAAAGGGAGCTGTGGAATCAAGTGTCCATCTTCCTCCGAGGTCAGGCCACATCCCCCAGCATTTACTTTTTAATGTATAAAAACACATACTGAAAAATAAATGACAGGCTTATTTTAATTACCAACAGGTGTCTGGTGTCTGAATTTACGCTCCTCTAAGTGCACTTGAAATAATAATTTGGGCTCCCTTGAATATACCAAAGATCACATTGGATCTATATTCAATCATTATCCTGCTCACATTGTATTACTTTACAAAATTTTGTGTCATCTGCAAACACTAAAACAAGGCTTTCAATGCCTATTTCAAGATTACTTATAAATGTTAAATAAAAGCGGTCCAAAAATAGAACCCTGAGGGACACCACTTACCACTTTTGTCTAGCTTGAAAGTTTACCATTAATGACAACTCGTTGTACTCTATCCTTAAACCAATGTTCTACCCAAGAACAAGAATATTCATCTGGACCAATTTCTTTTAGTTTGAAGACTAACCTATTGTGAGGAACTGTATCAAATGCCTTGGCAAAATCCAAGTAGATCACATCCACTGCATCCACAACACCTTGATTTATACTTCTACTTACTTCTTCGTAGAATGCAATTAGGTTAGTTTGACATTGTTATTGGTATTTACATAGCGCCAACTAATTCTTCAGCATTTTAGAATATTATAAAAGGGGTGTGGGGGATTTACACTACATGAGCCTTACACAGTAACACATGAACAATAGGTAGATGAGGACCCTGCTCAAACAAGCTTTCAGCAAGGGTGACAGTCACCAAACAAGGTGGAAAAGTAGCATAACTGGAGGAGAGAGTGGAGTAAAGGCTCTTTAGGAGAGCAAGAGACATTCTTGGGTAAGTATGGATAAGATTCTGGGAGTCTATAAGTATTTCTGAACAGATGTGTTTTGAGGGACTTCTTAAACAATTGAAGTGTAGGGGAGAGTCTGATGGGGGTAGGCAGGTTGCTCCAAAAGAAGGAGCGCGAGTTAGCAGTAAGGGTGCGAGCAGAGAACAGGAGAAAGTCACCGGCAGAGTGGAGAGACCGAGAAGGGGCATATCTATGAATCAGAGAAGAAATGTAAGATAGAAGCATGCTGATTATTGCATAATAACAAAGTTCTTCCTGATTAATTCCTGAATATTATCCCTCAGTTGCCCTTCAAATACTTTCCCAGTCACAGAAGTTAAGCTCACAGGTCTATAATTTGCAGGCAAGGATTTTGAACCCTTTTTAAATATAGGGACAACATCTGCTTTTCTCCAATCCTCCGATGCAATTCCTGGAACAAAACAATCTTAAATGATTAAATACAGAGGTTCACTTCTTTCCACACTTACCTCCTTAAGTACTTGTGGGTGAATATCGTCAGGCCCTGAAGCTTTATTTACATTCATTTTCTTTAACCCCTTAAAGACACTTCTGGAATAAAAGGGAATCATGATGGAATATTTCCGTCATGTGTCCTTAAGGGGTTAACTCTTGTAGCACCTTTTCTTTTTTAAATGTACTTGTTTTTATTCATTTTCATACCAGTTAAGTACATTTTTATACAGGGTTGAGTACAACTCACATCAAATGGCATGTACAATGAAAGAATGTGACACAATAACACAATTAAACTCCAACATAGTAATCAATGGCTGGTAACAATAAAACATTTAATAATAACAATTGTTCAGTAATAGTGAGAATCAGGGAGATGTGTATCATCCGGTTGTTGGCATTGGGGGAGACATCAGGAGATTCCCAGCTTTCTGGTCGAGGGTTTCACACACCTCCTTACTTATCCCTCCCCCCAGGGGGTGCAAAATTGTAAAACCCAGGTATTTTAATTAACGGATTAACAATGCCCAGTGTTTCTATGTTCTGACGAGGGGGGGGGAATATGATTGTTGGGCCGGTTTTAGGGCTGGGTAGGGCAGGGGTGTCTCTGTGTGGTCCTGTATGTTGGCCTTATGAGTATTTCTGGGCTTTTGTTAGAAAAGTAAGCCAAGGTTCCCATGTCAAATGGTAAAGGTCATATTTGTGGGAAAGAGAGGCATGGATCTCCTCCATCAGTCTGATTGATTCTGTTTTCTGGATCCATTCCCTAGTGGAAGGAGGGTTTGTATTTTTCCACTTGGCTGGGATCAATAGATTGGCTATCAGAGGTGGGTTATCAGAGTTCTGGTGTGTTTGGGCAGTAGGGCTGGTCCCATCAAGAATAGAAGTGAGTTCGGATTGACTGGTAGGTCTACCCCGTTACTGTTTTAATCATTTTTACTATTCTAATCCAGAAAACCTGTATTTCTGTGCACTGCCACCAGATATGGGCTTTTGGCATCACAAGCACCTGCCTTCTGCATTTGGGTACATGTTTTGTAATTTGGTTGGTGAATAGTGCCATCTTGAGATTCATTTATAATGACTCTCTTGTGTGCTCGTGTTTATTGACGATTTGTGAACTGTTCGGAAAAGTATCCCAGTCTGCCTCTGTGATCTTTATATGAAGTTCATGTGGCCAATGTTGTGTAAAATTGGGCAAGATGTGTTTCGTGTTCTCCTGCAGGAGTTTGTACATCATGGAGAACTGTTCATTCTTCAGCATCTGTTATTCACAAACATGGGGGGAAGAGGGGGTTGAAGTTAAGGGGTATAGGGGAGATGGGTATGTTGAGATGCCCATAGTTTCCCTAATTTGTCTCCACATTCGCAGTGTGGGTGCTATGGTAGAGTGAGCGATGTGGTTGGCTCCCAAGTAGGTCGACCCTGAGTAGTGCCATGGGATTGTATGGATCGGGATTCGGAAGAAATCATAGACCCTGGTGAGTATGGTGGCTTTGTAATATTGATACATGTTGGGCACGGCGAGGCAGCCCTTTGCCTTTGACCACATTAAGATATCGTGTGAGATCCTCAGCTGTTTGTTTGCCCATATGAATTTGGTGAGTATTTGTTTAAGTCTGTTAAAAATGGTTTTGGTATGTGGATGGGGAGGGTCTGGAAAAGGTATAGAAGTCTCGGGAGGATGTTCATTTTGATGATGTTAATCCTTCCTAGCCAGCTGAATTGTGGTTTGTGCCAACGTGTCAAGATATTGGAGATCGTCTAGAGTATTGGGGTGTAGTTTAGGGTCATCAGTTGGTGTGTGTCTGTGGTAAGTCACGTGCCTAAGTAAGTGATGTAAGATGGCGCCCATGCAAATGGGTATTGTTATTTTAGGGTCTCCTGGTTATGTGTGTTCAGCTTTAGTGGTAGTATTTCACTTTTAGAAAAATTGACTTTGAAGTTGGAAACTCGTGGAAGTTTTCAATTTCTGACATTAATGGTGTCAGGGATACATCAGGGGCTGTCAGTGTGAAGAGGAGGTTGTCAGCATAAGCTGCTATTTTGAATGTAGTGTGGTGTTTAAGTACATTTTCTAAATTTTCTGTTGGTTGATGTTGAATCCTTTTATGTCTCTGTTCTCTCAGATCCCCTCTAGGAAGGGTTCCATGGTGAGGATGAAAAGCAACGGGGACAGTGGACATCCCTGTCTTGTACTGTTAGTTATATTTACTGGATCCGGCAGTTAGCCCTTTATTTTCAGCCTGGCTGTCGGTGTGGCATAAATGGACCAAATTGATCCAAAGCCCAGGCCTTTCATGGTTTGTTTTAGGAAAGCCCAGTCTACACGGTCAAAGGCCTTTTCTGCATCAACCGATAGTAGAAGGCTTTGGGTCGGGTGGGTCTTGGAAATGTGAATTATACTAAACAGTTTGGTGGTGTTGTGTTTCGCCTCTTTGTCTGGGTGCATTAGTTCTTTGAGTAGGGGTCTCAGTCTGGTTGCAAGGATTTTCGTGAAAATTTTTAAGTCCACATTAATAAGAGAAATCGGCCGGATAGATTCCGCATGCCGTGGGATCCTTCCTCAGTTTTGGAAGGATAGTAATGTGTGCTTCCAGAGCGGAGTTTGGTAATGAGTGTTGGGTTGTCAGTGAGTTGAATGCGCTGATGAAGGGGCCTGCTAATGTGTCAGTGAATGTTTTATAGTACTTGGTTGTGTATCTATCGGGTCCTGGGCTCTTGTTTAAGGGGAGTGTGCGTACTGTCTTATGGAATTCTTCTTCTGTAAGAGGTGCGTCTAGGGATTGTCTGATGAGGGACATTCTTTTTAAATCTGGGAATTAGGAAGTTCTCTATTTCCGTCTGTGTTGGCGGTGTGTCTCTTAGGTTATATAGGTCAGAATAAACATTTATAGAAGGCTTCCATTATGTCTGGGAGGGTATGTAATAGACCTTTACTGTGGTGTTTAATATTAGCGATATATGTTGTTCGATGAGTTTATTTGAGGGCTTGTGCCAGTAGGCGCCCACATCTCTTGTCCATTGCATAGTAGGATTGTTTCGTCCGGAGGAGTTTGCGTTTCACCTGGGTGTTTAGTATTTGCTGCAGTTCTGAACTTTTTGTCACCAATTCCATTTGGTATTGAATGTGGTGTGGTGTTTATGTATATTTTCTAAATTCCTGATTGTAACGGATCGCCTGGCACCCCGACTGGGTACCTCCGTTGAAGGATGCTCCTAGCGCTTCCTGAGGACTCCAAGCACTCTGGCAGACACCACAATCACCGAACCGGAGAAACAAATAAATTATCCCAAGCATATGAATGCTGTAGACAGTTGAATAGGAACCATACGAATAGGTTTACTCTCCTAGCAGTCAAACTGGAACAGCATACAATAAATCCTTCCCCCAATAATGAGACGACACTTCACTTTGAGGGTTAAAACAGGAACTCTCTGTACTGTCACATACAGTCTCTTTTATTCCCAATCCACAAACATAGTACAGCCCACAGGGTTTTACAGAACAACCAATCAATCTGTACAATACACACAGACACTCCCACACAAAATCCTCCCCTCTGCCTGTAATACAATTACCTAACACAATGGGTAATCTAATTATCACAGACAGAGAAATACAGTTTCATAAAACACATCACAGAGACCCCAAAACATGCAATAACCCCATAAAAAGTATCCTTGGAAACGGGGGGATCTGGGTGAACCACATATCCAAAATTCACCCAGATCCGTTCAGTACTTTGGAAGATACAGTTTAATGCACATTCTGCAGAACATATACAGGCTAAATGAAAAACAATCACTGTATAATGTGTCCCCTGCTGTATAGTCCAAAACCACTGCACGATGTCTCTGTGCACCAAATACTGGCGAGATGGCACCGTGTTGAAAAGTCCAAACAGTGTCTGTGAGTTAAAATGGCCGCCATCCATTGTTCTCACCATGTGCTCCATCCATTGTTCTCACCATGTGCCTCTGATACAGGAAATGGTGGCCACCCAGTAACTCCACAGTATGTCCCCAGATGGTTCTTAAAGGGCCAGCAGCAGCACAACACAAATCCATTATGCCCAAATCATGTCTTTAAAGGGCAATACATCCCAGGGGCCATAGTCACATGGCAGGAGGCTGGCAATCAGTCTTCTCCAATGCCCAGTGGTGAGGTCGGTTTCGCCACATTTCTCCCCTTTCCCAAAAAGACTAACAAGGTATCTGACCTCCTGCCGGTCAGTGCCTTGGTTAGTCCAGCAACCCACCCACAAAGCATAATCAACAGAGTGGCCCACCCACAAGAATTGGTTACTGCACCTGGGGTAGAGGGTAGCTTGACAATGTCCAGGGGCTCCACTACGGCTCTGGGAGGTTCTCAGCAACCTTCCGGATCGGTGGGTTGCTGAGTGGGCAGAGACCCTGGTGCCAGCGCTACCATGGGAGTAGCCTGGTTGGAGCCCAGCTGAGGAGAAGGGTTAGTAGGCTCCTCTCTCTGGACCTGGTGTTGCTGCTGGAGGGGAAGACAGGCTGTCTCCCCTTTGGATATACAGTCCTGCTGCTGGGGGACAGGACCGACCGTCCCTACCCCCTGTGGTTGGGGCACAGAGACCACGGTTCCATCTGCACCGGTGTGGGGCTTATCATCTCCCCTTGGTGGGCTATGCTGCCGCTGGGGAGAGGGGGTAACAGGCTCCTCTCCCTGACACTCTCTCTGCTGGTGGAGAGGGGGACCGACTGTCTCCCCTTTCAATATATTGTCCCGCTGCTGGGAAGCGAGACCAACTGTCTCTGCTCCCTGCAGGACACACTGCCGCTGGGGAGGAAGGACGGCACCTTCGGCTCCTTGTGACTTACTGGACTGCTGGGGAGAGGGACCAACTGTCTCCTCTCCTAAGGACACACTCTGCCGCTGGGGAGGAAGGACAGCACCTTCGGCTCCCTGGAACTCACACTGCCGCTGGGGAGGAAGGACAGCACCTTCAGCTCCCTGTGATACATACTGCCGCTGGAGATCTGGGCCAACCGCCCAGCATCCCTGTAGGGCCGGTAGAGAGACCGCGGTCCCATCTCCACCTGCCATCTGTGGGTCTTCCCAGGACCAGTCTGTGAGGTCCCTCAACATTTGCGAGTAAGGACCACCTGCTTCCGCACCTGGCAACTCCGGCTGCTGATGGGGATCTGGGCCGGCTGCCCAGCATCCCGGCGGACCCGGTGGAGAGACCTCGGTCCCATCTCCCCCTGCCTGTTGTGGTTCCTCACAGGACCAGTCTATGAGGACCCCTACTTCGGGTTCCTGCGGCCGCCTCAGGAGGAGACGGCTAGCCTCCTCAGATGCAGCCTCTACTCGGCTGCTGTAACACTCCTTCCGCTGAGCATACTCTCTCTCTTTCGCCAGCCGGAATTCTCGGGCCAGCCTTGTGTTTCGCTCGGCCGTGACCTGGTTCCAGATCACCCGGCGTACCTCCATGGGTAAATCATCCCCATACTGGGCCACTCGCTGCCTCACCTCGGCCATCCAATTGTCGCCAGAGCCTTCCATACTTGTCTGCTCCAAGTCGCTGGATACCTCTGCTCCCAGGGTCGCTGCACGTGTGCTAGCGTTGCCCTCAATTTGTAAATCCAAACGAACTGTGTCTTTGAGCTGCTTTACCTCGCACTAGGACGCTATCCCACCGCTTGCCACCAATGTAACGGATCGCCTGGCACCCCGACTGGGTACCTCCGTTGAAGGATGCTCCTAGCGCTTCCTGAGGACTCCAAGCACTCTGGCAGACACCACAATCACCGAACCGGAGAAACAAATAAATTCTCCCAAGCATATGAATGCTGTAGACAGTTGAATAGGAACCATACTAATAGGTTTACTCTCCTAGCAGTCAAACTGGAACAGCATACAATAAATCCTTCCCCCAATAATGAGACGACACTTCACTTTGAGGGTTAAAACAGGAACTCTCTGTACGGTCACATACAGTCTCTTTTATTCCCAATCCACAAACATAGTACAGCCCACAGGGTTTTACAGAACAACTAATCAATCTGTACAATACACACAGACACTCCCACACAAAATCCTCCCCTCTGCCTGTAATACAATTACCTTACACAATGGGTAATCTAATTATCACAGATAGAGAAATACAGTTTCATAAAACACATCACAGGGACCCCAAAACATGCAATAACCCCATAAGTATATCCTTGGAACTGGGGGATCTGGGTGAACCACATATCCAAAATTCACCCAGATCCGTTCAGTACTTTGGAAAATACAGTTTAATGCAGATTCTGCAGAACATATACAGGTTAAATGAAAAACAATCACTTTATAATGTGTCCCCTGCTGTATAGTCCAAAACCACTGCACGATGTCTCTGTGCACCAAATACTGGCGAGATGGCACCATGTTGAAAAGTCCAAACAGTGTCTGTGAGTTAAAATGGCCGCCATCCATTGTTCTCACCATGTGCTTCATCCATTGTTCACACCATGTGCCTCTGATACATGAAATGGTGGCCACCCAGTAACTCCACAGTATGTCCCCAGATGGTTCTTAAAGGGCCAGCAGCAGCACAACACAAATCCATTATGCCCAAATCATGTCTTTAAAGGGCAATACATCCCAGGGGCCATAGTCACATGGCAGGAGGCTGGCAATCAGTCTTCTCCAATGCCCAGTGGTATGGTCGGTTTCGCCACACTGATCTCTTCAGTTAGTGTTTTAACTTGGGCTTCGCAGCTCTTCTTGTATCGGGACGCTATAGCTATTAGGTGGCCTCTGATTACACATTTGTGGGCCTTCCAGATAACTGGTGGGGCAGTTTCGGGTGTAGCATTGTCTTGGAAGTAGTGTTTAATCTCAGACTGTATTTGGTGTATTGCGACTGTGTCGTTAAGCATTAGGTTATTTAGCTTCCATTGGAAGGTTTTTATTTGTAATGAGGGTACCTGGCTAATCAGTGTTAAAGGAGCATAGTCTGACCATGTGATTGGGCCATAGAAACAGGATTTGATAAGGTGTAGAAATCTGTGAGGTAGAAAAAACATATCTAGTATTGAGTATGTGTGGGTAGCTGGGGAGTAAAAGGAGTAGTCCCTATCTTGGGGGTTGGCGATGCTCCAGCATTCCACCAGTTGGGATTTATCTAGGAGGCTCAAAATAGTTTGTCTGGTATGATTCTGGTGAGTCATCACTGAGGAGGTTGTGTCGAGGGCTGAGTCCAGAGTTATGTTGCAGTCCCCTCCCATGACCAAAATTCCCTCTGTGAAGTTTTCTTTTGACGTTAGACATTTCTTGATATGCCTACATTGGTGTCTGTTTGGGGAATATATGTTGACAAATGTGAATATAGTACATCCCAGTTTACCCTTCACCATTGCCGTTCTACCGGTATCATCAGTTTTGCGATCTAACAGTGTAAACGGAAAGTGTGCCGCAATCAGTATGCCGTGCCTTTGCCTCTGAGTAGTTCCCAAAATACCCTACTGGATATCTGCGGTTGTGAAGGATAGGTGCCGCATCCCTCCTAAAGTGGGTCTCCAGGAATGTCATGTCCGACCTGAGCTTGGACAATTCTAGTAGTGCCAGAGAGCGTTGTTCAGGGGTGTTAAGACCCCGAGCATTCAAGGTTATTATACGTAGGGTAGCCACTCCCTCCCTTGTGTGGTCCTAACCTCCCCCCACTCTCCCTCGCCCTCCTCCCTGTTTCGAAGGATGTTGCATATTCCTTTAATACTTGTATGGTTTTCACTAATTTAGACAAACAATCAAATAACAAAAATAAACTATTTACAGAATGCTTAAGACGTAGATAAGTGTAAGTTCTATAATGCTATATCACTTTACGAGTTTCTCGTAAAGGTACCCGTCGGTGGCAATCTCGGGAGTAGCAACTTCCGAGAGTCAGCTGTGCCCCGCGGGATAGGTTATTACCGCCTAGAAAAGCCAAGTTGTTGTAAAAGTTTTTTTGTGGAGTTAGTCCACTTTATGATTTAAGGTAGGGGAGATTAATAAGTGGATGGTGTATTATGGTGGTTATGCCTTGAGGCCTGATGTCCAGGCCCTGTGTGGATCCAGTTTAAATTCTTATCCAATTTTGGATGAGCAGGTCGGGTTGGTTGGGACTGAGCCCTCCCTGTTAAAGTGTAAGACCATATAATATCGCTTATGTTTGGTGGGCATTACAGCCTGATTTGGCCTATATCCCTCTGAAGGGAACAAGATGCATATTTCTTGTATAGCTTATTATGTGTATGATAGGTGCCGAATGTATACAAATATATGAGCAAGATTCAAACAATATTCAAACTATATATATATATATACACACACATATGAGAAAATGAGGGTTTAGCTGCACTCACCTAACATGCTAAATTAGGTTGCTGCTGGGGGCCAATAAGTACAGTAAAAATGAGAATCCAGCGCACTCGCTTATCTACTAAACAGTCATTTTAGTGCTGAACAATTTTCAGTTTTATTATGATCATACATTGCATAAGCCTGTCACAAGCCTTGCTATGCATTTGTTTCACGTTCTACTTTTTGGAGATTTGGTTGTTGTTTAATCTGTAGACAGCTCTCTATCTTGCGGCAGGAGATTTTATTTTTGAAGTCTGAGATTTGTAAATTATCTGGTGAACAAACTCAGACTGGAACTGCTGCAAAGCCACTGCCGCAGAGACATACTAGGAATGGCAGATGGATTACTGTAGGATCTGGTAGACTTAGAGTTGTGGATAAAAGGCATTTTGCACAGTCTGTTGCTCTTCATAATTCATTTTCAGCACTTTAAGAGTGTAATGGTGTTGTGGAGCACTGAGGCTAGTGGTGTTGTGGAGCGAGGCACTGAGGCTAATGGTGTTGTGGAGCGAGGCACTGAGGCTAGTGGTGTTGTGAAGAGAGGCACTGAGGCTAGTGGTGTTGTGGAGCGAGGCACTGAGGCTAGTGGTGTTGTGAAGAGAGGCACTGAGGCTAGTGGTGTTGTGGAGAGAGGCACTGAGGTTAGTGGTGTTGTGGAGAGAGGCACTAAGGCTAGTGGTATTGTGGAGAGAGGCACTAAGACTAGTCGTGTTGTGGAGAGAGGCACTGAGGCTAGTGGTGTTGTGGAGAGAGGCACTGAGGCTAGTGGTGTTGTGGAGAGAGGCACTGAGACTAGTGGTGTTGTGGAGACCGGCTTGGAGACTATGGTGAGGCCTAATAGAAAGCAGTTGTTATAAGAGGTGTGGAGATGGACAATGGTGGTCTTGTGAGGTGTCTTCCCGGAGCTACTGCTCACAGAGACAGGAGACGTATCTGTAATATTGTTAAGCAAGCAAAGCAGGAAGGGGAATTGGATGTACTTGTCCATCTAGGGACAAATGACTTGGCTTGCAATGAGGTTTAAGAGGTTAAGGAAGTTTTTAGTGTTTTTGCCAATGATATACGGCAGGTTGCTTCCACACTGTCATTCTCTGAAGTTCTGCCTGTGCATAACACTCAGAACGACAGGCGGATGCGTATTAGGGACTTTAATTTGTGGCTTGGTGAATGGTGGCTTTATTTCTCATGGTAGCTCTGTTTGGAATGGAGATAAGCTGTACAAAAAAGATGGTTTGCATCTTTCTCAAAAGGGAACAAATGTTTTGCTAGGATGTATTTAAACTAGGAGGGGGGGCAAAAGGGTGATAAAACATCAATCCAATTGTCCCCCAAAACAAGGACAGAAGGTGCCTGTAGTAAGTGTGTTAAAAAATGATAAGCTTAGAGTCATGTCTACAAATGCTCGCAGTTTAGGGAATAAGATCCATGAACTTGTGGCAATAATGGCAACTGATAGTGTAGATTTAGTCGCTGTTACTGAGACATGGTACAATGAGAAAAATGACTGGGACATAGCAATACCAGGGTACTCTTTATATAGGAAAGATAGGGAAGGCAAGAAAGGGGGAGAGGTGGCCTTGTATGTGAAGGATAGCATAAAATCTAGCCTAATAAAAGTTAGTGAGGCAAACATAGAGTCCGTTTGGGCTACGTTAGAATTTGGTAATCACACAGTAACTCGTGTAGGTGTGATTTATAGGCCCCCAGGACAAATTGAAGAGTTAGATAATCTACTAGTTGAGGAAATAGCTAAAATGACAATGAAGGGGAAGTTATCATCATGGGTGACTTTAATCTTCCTGATGTAAATTGGAAAACAAAATTAGCTACTTGTGCCAGGAGCACACATATTCTAAACTCCCTACTGGGATTGTCTCTAAAACAAGTTGTTGAGGAGCCAACTCGTAAAGAGGCCATACTAGATTTAGTGTTAACAAATGGAGATTTGGTATCAGATATTACTGTAGGTGAAAGTTTAGGATCCAGTGATCATCAGTCAGTGTGGTTTAATATAAGAACAGTGACTGAGTCACACCACACAAAAACAAAAGTTTTAGACTTTAGAAAAACAGACTTTTCTAAAAATTAGAATATGGGTAGAGGAGTCATTATCAGACTGGAGCAATTTAAATGGAGTCCAAGAAAAATGGGATTATTTAAAAGTTGCACTATTGAAGGCAACAGAAAATTGCATTAGGCTTGTCAGTAAAAGCAAAAAATTCAAGAAACCACAGTGGTACTCCGCAGATGTGGCCAAAATAGTTAAAAACAAAATGTTAGCATTTAGGAATTATAAAAAAAACCAGAGTGAGGAAGACAAAATGATCTATAAGATTAGGCAGAAAGAGGCTAAGCAAGTTATAAGAGCTTCCAAATCACACACAGAAGAGAAAATAGCACAGTCAGTAAAAAAGGGGACAAAACATTTTTTAGATACATAAATGAGTAAAGGAAAGTAAAACAAGGATTAGTTAGATTAAAAACAAAAGAAGGAAGGTATGTAGAAGAGGATAAAGGTCTAGCTGACTGCCTCAATTAATATTTTTGTTCTGTATTTACAGATGAAAATGAAGGAAAGGGACCATTCAACAATATTTGAATCCAAACTTAAAGATTGCAGTTTATTGATAAGCCTTCTATGTGCAACAGTGTCAAAAGCCTTACTGAAATCTAGGTAAGCAATGTCTACTGCACCACCATGATCTATAATTTTAGTTACCCAATCAAAAAAATCAATAAGATTAGTTTGGCATGTAAGGCAGTGGCTGAGTGACAGGCAACAGAGGGTTGTAGTTAATGGAATATATTCGAAGCTTGGACTTGTCACCAGTGGGGTACCTCAGGGATCTGTACTTGGACCCATTCTCTTTAATATTTTTATTAGTGATATTGCAGAAGGTCTTGATGGTAAGGTATGTCTTTTTGCTGATGATACTAAGATATGTAACAGGGTTGATGTTCCAGGAGGGATAAGCCAAATGACAAATGATTTAGGTAAACTAGAAAATGGTCAGAATTGTGGCAACTGACATTTAATGTGGATAAGTGCAAGATAATGCATCTTGGACGTAAAAACCCAAGGGCAGAGTACAGAATATTTGATAGAGTTCTAACCTCAACATATGAGGAAAGGGATTTAGGGGTGATTATTTCTGATGACTTAAAGGTAGGCAGACAATGTAATAGAGCAGCAGGAAATGCTAGCAGAATGCTTGGTTGTATAGGGAGAGGTATTAGCAGTAGAAAGAGGGAAGTGCTCATGCCATTGTACAGAACACTGGTGAGACCTCACTTGGAGTATTGTACACAGTACTGGAGACCGGATCTTCAGAAGGATATTGATACCTTAGAGAGGGTTCAGAGAAGGGCTACTAAACTGGTTCATGGATTGCGGGATAAAACTTACCAGGAAAGATTAAAGGAACTTAACATGTATAGCTTGGAGGAAAGACGAGACAGGGGGGATATGATAGAAACATTTAAATACATAAAGGGAATCAACACAGTAAAGGAGGAGACTATATTTAAAAGAAGAAAAACTACCACAACAAGAGGACATAGTCTTAAATTAGAGGGACAAAGGTTTACAACACCTTTCAACGTGCCTTGTGTGTTTGACAAATATACTTTCTTTACTGTTTACTATAAGTATGTAAACATAAACACTGCACAAACACTGCACATTACCTTTCACGCAAACCTCAGCCTTTTTTATAAACACTGCACACATCAAGACGCAAGCAGGAGGAAAGACGAGACAGGGGGATATGATAGAAACATTTACATACATAAAGGGAATCAACACAGTAAAGGAGAAGACTATATTTAACCCATTAAGGACCAAACTTCTGGAATAAAAGGGAATCATGACATGTCATGTGTCTTTAAGGGGTTAAAAGAAGAAAAACTACCACAACAAGAGGACATAGTCTTAAATTAGAGGGACAAAGGTTTAAAAATAATATCAGGAAGTATTACTTTACTGAGAGGGTAGTGGATGCATGGAATAGCCTTCCAGCTGAAGTGGTAGAGGTTAACACAGTAAAGGAGTTTAAGCATGCGTGGGATAGGCATAAGGCTATCCTAACTATAAGATAAGACTAGGGACTAATGAAAGTATTTAGAAAATTGGGCAGACTAGATGGGCCGAATGGTTCTTATCTGACGTCACATTCTATGTTTCTATGTTTCTACAACGCAATGAAAACATTGAGCAGACAGAGTAGGACCTGCCAAAGATGGGGTACATTGGCGTTGTGGCAGGCTTATGCAATGTATGATCATATACATTAACTAAACCCCCATTATATTTTTTTGCCTAGAATAGGTGTTTTTAATAAAACTGAAAATTGTTCAGCATTAAAATGACTGTTTAGTAGATAAGCGAGTGCGCTGGATTCTCATTTTTACTATATATATATATATATTCATATATATATTCAGGACCGCTAGAGATCCCAGAATGGGGGATCCTCCATGAAAGTTATATTATACTCATTGTTTCATTGTGTTACGGTGTGTAGCAGTGCACTTTCTGTTCCTTTTATCAGTCCCAGTTAGGCGTGGATTCATCATGGGAAGTGGAATAGTTCTTTTGGTGGAATAGTTCTTTCATTAGGATGTTGGTGAGTCCATTCTTTGTGCTTGTTCCTTGTGCAAGGTCTCCGTGATCTGTGCGTCTTTTCTTCGCCATCTGTGATCCCCTTTGCCTCTGCGATAGTTGGGTTGCTGTGGAGCCTGCTGGTGGGCATACCAGTCCGCTATTTGTATGGCAGGCAAATCCAGGGCTTGCTGAAATATCTGCACGTCCATAACTGAGTAGATGGTGTGAGTGGATCCCTTATGAGTATGGCTGAGGGGCGAAAGGGAAACCCCAGCGGTATCTGATGCCCCTGGTTCTGAGTTGATCTGTAGGCGGGTGTAGGGATCTCCTGCAGTGTTAGCCAGGAGAGGTCAGGGAAGATACGGATTGGTTTTTCATGAAAGAGTATCAGCTGTGTTGTGTGCCTGAGGGCTGCTAGTATGTCCTCTTTACATTGATAGTAATGGAGCCGTCTGCTGCGATGCCTCTGGGTTTTAGAGCTCTGTGTGCTCTATCGAGTACTATTTTGGAATTCGGTTGTTTGTTCAGTATGAGAGTAAATAATTCTGTCAGGGTCTGGGCTAAATCCTCTGCGTCTTGTTCAGGGAGCCCCTGACTCTCAGGTTGTTCCTCCTCCCCCTGTTATCTATATGATCCAGGGAGCGCTGTATTGCTGTCAGGTGGGTATGGTGGGCTGCTATTGTGTCCTGGATTGTGTGCATTTGTGCAAACAAAACATCCCTGTCATCTTCCAGTGATTGCACTCTACCCCCCATGTGGCATATGTCTGCCCCTATAGCGTCCATTTTTGTTTGGAATGATACCTCTAGTTTTCCCAGCATGGAGGACAGATCCTGCTTAGATGGCATGTTTAGTATTTCCCTCAGCTCCTTGTTCTGTCTCTGGTCGGATTCTGACTCTGCCGGGCTGGACGGAGGGGAAGCTGTTTGAGGTGAGTCCGGCGCCATATTGGGGCCTGTCTGCGTGGATCGTTGTTCCTCATTATCGCAGAAGTATTTTGTTAAAGCTCCATTTTTTCCCGCCGGAGTCTTACCGGAGCCATTTTGTAAGTTAGTGGAGCGTTTTGGATGTCCCATGATGTCTGAATCTGCTCGATGGCTGCGGATTGCACACAGGTCTGTAGAGAGCTCAATTACTCTGTGGCCATTCCAGTCGGTGGCTAGCTCCGCCCCCTTGCACCTTGTCTTGAGTCATCCAATAACAAGTTATATGCAAGTTGGGGGCGTAGCCAGAGCCTGAACGAGCCAGACGCGCCTCGCAGCAGCTCTGCACGAAAACCTTGCAAACTGCTGTTTACTGGCACAAATACTAAGCCTCAACTGCTTCCCCATGAAAAAGGCAAAAATACAGAGCACATCCCAGCCCTTTCATGTGCATGGCCATGCGGCCTGATCCCCTCAAGATGGTGCCGGCAGAGGCGTATACATCTCCCTCGTCGGACGATGACAGTCCTCCAACCAACTTACCTGCAATCTCCCAGGTACGGACAAAGCCTATGGCACCCTTGGAGCTGGGGGATGAAGCTCCCACCAGGAAAGTAAACATAAAGGCACTGGTGAAAGACATCTAAGCCATGTTCCACACATACATGGTGCTCATCAGGGAAGAGGTATCTACGCTCACCAAACGGGTGGCGGCAGCTGAAGAACACATCAAGGGCGCAGAGGTGTCTCAAACTGCCATGGATACTGCCCTGAGTTTGCTGCAAAAACAATGCAGATCCCTGACAGAAAAACTAGCAAGCATGGAGGATAGAGTCAAGGCATGAAACATAAGGATTCGAGGAGTGCCGGAATCAGTCACTGTAGCAGATCAAAAGCAGTGAACATAATGAAGAAAATAGCTGTAGATCTACAAATAGGATACACAAAGGAATATATATAGTGTAACATTGTATAACATAAAAGAATGGCGCAAAATAAAGTAGCACTTACAGGACAAAGTAGAATAAATTGTTTGAGGGTGCCTTCCCGGTATATGTGGGGGGCTAATCCAGAATGCCTTCCTCCTCTAGCAGTGAGGTTGCGAGTATGGAAAGCCAGACTCAAGTGTCAGGTGAAAAAATGACTGCTATTTATTGTATAAAGTGTATATAAAAACACTGACGTATAAAAATGCTAAAAACAAAACAAAATAAGTTGCTAGGAATAATCCTACATGTTTCGCCCCAAAGGGCTTCTTCAGGGACCCTCCAAAAGGTTACAGCAACAAGAATAAAAATAAATACAAACAAAGAGACAAATCAGACAATCACAGTATAAAAAGCAATATACATCCCTCCCCCCTGAGTGTCTCCTTTTATATGGCTCTTGTGTCTTCTTATTGGTGGTCCAGAATGTGTTTCCTCACATCCCCTAGCTGTTCGCCATCTGCTTACATCAACATTTCTCATTCCCAGTCATTGTATCTTCTGGCTACACCTATGATTTGTATGTATGTATGTATGTATGTATGTATGATCTAGACACTATTTTGTGAAGTTACTGTGCTGTAAAAGAGACCTGTTAATTTAAGATTTTTTAAGTGTGAATTTTCATACATGTTTCTGATGGGTCCGTGTTCTATTTTGAAATATTTTAGTAGGCTTCTTATTCCAACTACCCCACAAAGGCATACTATTTCGTAAAGTAGACACCTGAGGGTATTTCAAATGGCATATTTTGAACCTTAGTGTGGGATCATTCTTCTGCTAGCTTGTACCAAGTGTAGTGGTAATAAGCATTGTTTCTGCCTTTTTGACACACAAAGTAAGTTTGCACTGTATATTTTGCAAACCTTATGTGTGCTACCGCTTTGTACCCCTTGCTCACGGTGCTTAGAGACATATCAGCTATGCCTTACTGATGATGCCTAACAAGGCTGAAATGATCGTCTGGGGTTGCTGTATCTCTCGTGCAGAGGGAACTTGCTGGCATTTCCGATCTGGACTGCCCGTATGGGTGGGATCAGTCTGATATGTTTCAGAGATGTTCTCTCTGTAATGGCACAATATGAGCTAAAACCAGTTTGAGATCTAAGCAGGGACCCACCGAAGGGCAAGCTATTTCAGTTGCTGCCCGTTCTCAGTATTCTCTTGCACCCTGTTTTTTGCTCTCCACATATTTTGAAACTTGGCCTGAAATCATGTTTCCGCTAGCTGGTACCAAGTGTAGTGGTAATAAGCATTTTTTCTGCCTTTCGACAAAGACCAGGAAAAAATCTCAGGCACTCACTGGGATACGTTAAGCGGCTTTAACGTAACGTTTCGACCTGTACCCAGGTCTTTGTCAAGCTAACACCACATGAAAAAGTTAACATTTATATTTACACATAATCAATTAATTGTGAAATTGCTAAATGTATTAAAACACAGTGATATAATTAAAACACATAAAAATCCAATTAGGAGTGTATGGACTAATTGGATAAGCTCACCAGCTCCTCCAAAAACATGGCAAAGAGAGGCAGTACATGGAATGTATAATAAACAGAAACAAGGAATAGATGAAACCCGCATATTAGATCAAACAGAGGTGGTCACAAAAGTATGCACACTCCTCTATCCTGATAGGAGGTCCACTAAAGTAGCCACACACTGAGGGCAAATCTTCACACAGTGTATAAAGAGACCCCATAAAAAAGTAACAAATAATCCCTAAAATAAAGAATAATAAGCCTATACTTAGCAAAATACCTTATACGTCCTCTATCCTGGCGGCCCAATGCACCCGTGTCACACCGAGTCTCACATGGCACACGTTGTGCGTCATGTCCATCAAGCCCTCCCACAACTAAGGAAGCCCACTGTGACAAACTCCCCTTTTCAAGTGAGTTTGCCACTAGTTCCTGAAGGAGCCTGCTTGCCAGCCTCCTGCCCACAGACAACAGACCTTGTAAAATGTGATATAAAAGTCTCTGTTCGTGTATTTGGACTAAATGGTTCGGGAACCGAACAGCCACACGAACCAGAGATCATCCTGGAGCTTGTTAAGCCTAACTGCTACTTTGTAACAATTTCCACCACAGTGTTCTAAGTGTTTGTCTGGGTGGCCCAATTCCTATGGACGACCACAAGGTGGCGGCCATCTTGTTAGCATGAACGCAGGCAGCGGCATTTGGTTGTCGAGTTCAAGAAACTATGGTCAGATATTGAAACTCCCGATCACCGCTGGACTTCCATGATTGCCTGCATTCAGTTCGATAACACTTAGAAAGACACTGTTCGGTAGAAACCTTCCCACGAACAAGGGGAGCAAGCTCAAGGGTAAGACTATTGACAATATTCGGTAGTTTGTTAGTTTTTAAACTACTGAACTAAACCGACCATAAGCCCTTATTCTCTGGAACTGTTTTGAGCATGGGACCATGCGTGTTGTTGGTCAAACAAATGACTTCCAGAAAATTTCTGAACTGATTTGGGTGATTTTTGGATATGTTGGTCACCCAGATCAGGGCTATCAGGGAATGTGACTTTTGTGGGGGTTTTATGTACTTTTTGGGTACTTTTGTGAAAAAAGTGTGATTTTCTTCTGTGCTTGGAGATAATTGGATTAGATTAGTACAGTTCCTGATCCAATTATCTCCAATTATCTGATTTTGTATGGGAGTGTCCTGGATCTTAGAGCCAATGTAATTGTTTATTTGTTTCTATTGTGGTTTACTCTCAGGTCTAGGGTAGGAGTGTCCCTTGCATGGGGACATGCATTTAAGGCCAGTTGTGGCTGCCATTAACGTATTCCAGCTTGTACTCCCAGAACTATGTGTTGTCTGGTTACTGGGAGGGGAAAGTCACTGTTCCAGGGTGGAGGATTCAACGGGGAAAGTCCTTGTAAAGACTAGAGCTCCCAGGACTGAGTGTTGTCCAGTGCCTGGGAGTGTCTAGAGCGAGTTCCCCAGGAGAGAGAGGTTCCAGGGTCCCAGTCACGCCACGGCGACTGTGGGCAGAAGTTCTACGGTTTGTCCTTTGTTCCAGCTAGGAAGTGGTCTTTGGCGGAGACACCCAGTCAGGGTACAGGGCGCTCCGCTAATTTCACACAATCTTGCTAGGGACGAGCGCAACCGGCAGCAAGGTGCATGCATGGACAGCACAACACATTGCGCATGCACCAGGACTCAGAGAAAGAAGAGCACGCCAAGTGCTCAAGGGTCACAAAAGGCTCCCCCAGCACATGTAAAAAAGTGCATGTGTTAAACAGTAAACAATGAAGACTAACTAAGCCATATAATAGAAGAAATGCGGAAAAAAAGAAAATTAAAAATAAATAAAAATATATATGTGGGAAAAATAAATGAAGAAGGGGCAAACAAAAACAGAATAAATAAGAAAATAAAATAAAAAAATAAATAGAAAAAACAAATAATAATTAAAAAAATTCTGGTTCAGAGGTCATCAGCACATACTACCTGAACTACAAAAAGCTGTCCTTGACCTAGTGAGGCCAATTCAAGTATTCATATTACCTCACTAGAGAGAGAGAAAAAAAAAACAGCCCTTCCTCGAAGCTCATGGGGGACTGCCATATCTTGCCTAGCCGCAGTTCTTCCTGTTGCTGTTCACTGTAAGTTTGTTCCTTTTGGTCCACACTACCACTGACATTCCACACGTATTCATGACACATTTGGCCTTTCACTTACTAGGGTGGCATTAACATTTCAGTCCGTATTTGTTCCGCATTTGGATATCGTGAATTTCACTACTAACGCAAATACGGATTGTTTCCATCACAGCATCACAGTGATACATCAATTCGGTTCATGTATTCTGCTTACTGTACTGAAACAGATTTTATAAATATGCAATTGAGTCACCCTACATTTTTTTGTATAATAAATGGTATGCCATTTTCATTTTTCATATTTGCAGCTTTTGTTACTTATGTTCACCAGGCCTCAGTACCTATACAGGGAGTGCAGAATTATTAGGCAAATGAGTATTTTGACCACATCATCCTCTTTATGCATGTTGTCTTACTCCAAGCTGTATAGGCTCGAAAGCCTACTACCAATTAAGCATATTAGGTGATGTGCATCTCTGTAATGAGAAGGGGTGTGGTCTAATGACATCAACACCCTATATCAGGTGTGCATAATTATTAGGCAACTTCCTTTCCTTTGGCAAAATGGGTCAAAAGAAGGACTTGACAGGCTCAGAAAAGTCAAAAATAGTGAGATATCTTGCAGAGGGATGCAGCACTCTTAAAATTGCAAAGCTTCTGAAGCGTGATCATCGAACAATCAAGCGTTTCATTCAAAATAGTCAACAGGGTCGCAAGAAGCGTGTGGAAAAACCAAGGCGCAAAATAACTGCCCATGAACTGAGAAAAGTCAAGCGTGCAGCTGCCACGATGCCACTTGCCACCAGTTTGGCCATATTTCAGAGCTGCAACATCACTGGAGTGCCCAAAAGCACAAGGTGTGCAATACTCAGAGACATGGCCAAGGTAAGAAAGGCTGAAAGACGACCACCACTGAACAAGACACACAAGCTGAAACGTCAAGACTGGGCCAAGAAATATCTCAAGACTGATTTTTCTAAGGTTTTATGGACTGATGAAATGAGAGTGAGTCTTGATGGGCCAGATGGATGGGCCCGTGGCTGGATTGGTAAAGCTCCAGTCCGACTCAGACGCCAGCAAGGTGGAGGTGGAGTATTGGTTTGGGCTGGTATCATCAAAGATGAGCTTGTGGGGCCTTTTCGGATTGAGGATGGAGTCAAGCTCAACTCCCAGTCCTACTGCCAGTTCCTGGAAGACACCTTCTTCAAGCAGTGGTACAGGAAGAAGTCTGCATCCTTCAAGAAAAACATGATTTTCATGCAGGACAATGCTCCATCACACGCGTCCAAGTACTCCACAGCATGGCTGGCAAGAAAGGGTATAAAAGAAGAAAATCTAATGACATGGCCTCCTTGTTCACCTGATCTGAACCCCATTGGTCCATCATCAAATGTGAGATTTACAAGGAGGGAAAACAGTACACCTCTCTGAACAGTGTCTGGGAGGCTGTGGTTGCTGCTGCACGCAATGTTGATGGTGAACAGATCAAAACACTGACAGAATCCATGGATGGCAGGCTTTTGAGTGTCCTTGCAAAGAAAGGTGGCTATATTGTTCACTGATTTGTTTTTGAATGTCAGAAATGTATATTTGTGAATGTTGAGATGTTATATTGGTTTCACTGGTAATAATAAATAATTGAAATGTCACCTGCACACACAGATATCCCCCTAACATAGCTAAAACTAAAAACAAACTAAAAACTACTTCCAAAAATATTCAGCTTTGATATTAATGAGTTTTTTGGGTTCATTGAGAACATGGTTGTTGTTCAATAATAAAATTAATCCTCAAAAATACAACTTGCCTAATAATTCTGCACTCCCTGTATGTATTTTTCATGGTTGCCCTCTCGGTATTCAGGCACTCGTTTGGCCTACACTGTTTAGTAATTATGTGGTAAAGTGTTGCTAATGACTGTCTAAATTCATATCAGGCCCAAACTTGGGCCTATACATGTGTTCAGCATTTATGGTACTGTCTATTAATAATTTGTCTTATTTCATGATCTGTCAATACTTACATTGTTTTAGCCCTTTCTGGGCTCTGCAAGGGATTAGTCAAATTGTACTTTAAAATTATGTGTCATAATTATGTCTGCTGTATGGTTTTTTTTGTTTGTTTGTTTGTTTTTATCTTTGCAAGATTGCCTGCCACAACAGCTAATGCAAACACATTTAGATACAGGTCTTCAAACTAAAACGGGATTTTTGTCTTAAGCGCCTCCAAGATTGCCAACTTGTTCTGGTATGCTTGAAAGCAGAGTAGGATATCCCGAGGGGCTGCCTCTGGTGCCCTGGTGGACTTTGGGAACTGTGAGGAGCCATCCACTATCATATTTTTATTTTCCTGAGGTGGCAACACTGCAGAGAACAGGTGTTGAAGGAAGTGTGGCAATTCACCGTCCGTGATTCCTCCAATTTCTAGGTTTTGCCACCGCCTCGTCTAGTGTGTCCATCCTTGTCTGCAGAGCCTTGCATGTCATTTGGAGGTGTTTGATCTGTTCTGCAGCGCCTACATGGCGCAGTGAGAGGGTTGTAACATTCTCTTCAGTGGCCTTTACTCGAAAAGTGACCGCCAGATCTGTACAGAAGAAGTCTCTGATGTTGACCATGAGGTCCAGCCACATTTTGTGGCTGGAGCCCTTCTGTCCTCCATCAGTGGAGGTGCTGCAGGACTTTCTGCCTCTGGTATAGGACCAGGGAGGATGAGTCAGGCAGGTCTGGTCGTGCCACCATATTTGGCTTGGGCCTCGAGTGAAACATTTCCTTGATGCTTCGGCTACTTTTGCCAGCAAGGATTTTGACCTTCTTAGACTGCGTCCCCATGCCGCTGCCAGTGTCCGGGGTCTGACTGCCACAAGGTAAGAACTGATTATCAGTGTTTAATAGGCATAAGCACCAGATCTCCGTTTGTATGCAATTGTTCTTGATGCTGATCAAGCCACGCCCCATCAATTGACAATTGGAGACTGCGACCAGGAAGGCTTAGAAATAAAAAAAAAGGTAAACTAAGCAAACTGTTCATTTTTACAGTATGAATTCTCCCTATCCAAAAAATGGGTGTAGACTGCCAGTTTGCAAGAAAATATTTGCAATTTAGGAAGGATGGTTGTTGGTGAAGAGCTTGGAGTGGTCAATTGTTAAGTGGATAGCTAGCTATCTCAACACCTCGATTCACCACCTGTTACCTTCAACCTTTCTGACTCTTCACCAGATCCCAAGAGCTCAGACAGCCACATGCTTACCAAACAAGACTGATACAAATGAGTACCATAACTCCTGGAACCTTTTTAATATGTTTTAATGCCCCTAGCCCTGTCTACTAACTGCAGTCTTCTTGGAATCATCAAGTAACATATAACATTTTGGCTCTCACAAAACATTCTTGATGGTTTATCAAATCATGTGTTGCACACTGTAAGATGTGAAGTTCAGGAATTCAGTGTCAACTGATGTATCACTGAAGACAAGATTATGGGAAATTTTAAGATGCAATTGTAGTTAGGAAATCTATGTAGAATTCATGGTTACATATTATTAACAATAAAAATGTATGTACGAGGCACAGGACATAGTGGATCTGCATTAGAAGACAAAGTAAAATGACTGATAAAACAAAATCTCAGCTGTGCCAGCACACAATATATTTGAGTATAGGACGTACACTGAATCTCAAGGGATACGTGAAGTTGGATAAAAACATTAAACACAGCAGAACAGGGGCCATTTTATTACATTACTGCGACACTGCGACAGTTAAGGAAAACTGAAACTTGCGGTAAAGAAAGTGGGTATATATATCTATCTATATATATACAGATACAAATATCCATCCAGTCACTGTAAAGGGGGCAGATCCAGCAGAACTGGCTGTACATTCAGGTGGGTTCCAAATGAGAAACATGTTCCCCCTCCTCCTAGCAACAGTAAATGATTTCTGTATGGAAGTAGAAGCGAACTGTGTCCATGTAACATGAGAGGCCATTCCAGTACGGACTAAAGGGAGAAAAATACATGAAGATAATGTGATCATTGAAAATGCTCAGCTACTGCCCAACCCCACAGGGCTCCTTCTAACCTCACGCCAACAAATACAATACTTGATCTGTGTATTAAGGTAATGTGATCATTAAACATGCTTAGCTACTGCCAAACCCCACAGGCCTCCTTCTAATGTCATGCCAACACATACAATACATGATCTGTGTACTAAGGTAATGTGTTCATTAAACATGCTTGTGACGGATTCCCTGTCTATGGATTATTGTTTTTATTTGACTTTTTCCAGTATTCGAACACCACCGAACAAATAAAAGAATTTGGTTCGTATACCGAACCATATACCCAATGGATTGACGACCCAGAACAGTTGTTTGCTGCTCATTAACCTGCCTGACCTCTTTTCATACTTTCGGAAACCACAGATTACCAACATTCTAAGTGGGCGGCTCTGTGGCAGTAGTTCATATGGACGAACAAGAGGCAGTGGCCATCTTAACTGCGCTAACGCATACGGCGGTATTTGGTCGTCGAGTGTATGGAACTAAAATCACCCACTCAATGGCGCGAACACCGCTGGGACTTCCAACCACAAGCATGTTTGGTTTAATTTGACTAACTGGAACAGCGTTTGGTAGAAACAAACTCTTGAACAAGGGGCACACGACCAGCTTTCATACGAACAGATACTTTCTGTATTTTATTATGTTTTGGACTCCTGAAAGAGACCCACTGGCCAGTCTGAATCTATGGAACTCTTTTGGGCAGGCGCCTCATGTGCGGTCGGTCTGAACTATACCCTGTATGGGTTTTGTTTACTTTCATGGGATCTGAGCGCTTTTCGGATATGTTGGGCCAAGCCCAAGCTATCCGGGGGTATAGAACTTTAGGGGGTACCTAATTGTTAACTGTCTATTTTGGAGTGTAATTGATATGTATGTCCAGGACCTGAGAGTTAATGTAATTATGTTGTGTACTCTTTAGCAGTCTACTCTCAGGTCCAGAGGGAAATGCCCCTGGAATATGTAAAAGAAAACCCCTTGCACGGGGATTCACATAAAAGGCAGTGTGTGGTCCCATTAAAATCAGTTCCTGCTTACCCTCAACACAGAGTCTCGTCTAGTGATTGAGGGAACCGCTATACCTGCTTTGATTACTGCTTGGGATTACTACTTGCTCAGACTAGGGGAAAGGACATCTCTGGCGGCGGAACCCCTCTTCTTTCAGGGGTCCGCCACAATGCTCAGCTACTGCCCAACCCCACAGGGCTCCTTCTAATGTCATGCCAACACATACAATACATGATCTGTGTACTAAGGTAATGTGATCATTAAACATGCTCAGCTACTGCCCAACCTCACAGGTCTCCTTCTAACGTCATGCCAACACATACAATTCATGATCTGTGTATTAAGGTAAAGCGGGACCTGGGTAACCCGGCTGGTTATCCCCGCTATTAATGTATTAAGAGACCCATTTTCCTCCAGTAACTGGACTACACACAGTTCCAGGGATACAAAGTTTTACAATCTTTATTTGGGAAAACAGCTTTTTATGAACAGACCCCAACACAATCCCAGACAGGAGGGGGCTGGGCTGCAGATAACCATCTTCCGCTCTGGGAGATACCACTAGCACCAGGGGGCACACAGGCCAATACATTACATACATTAGATAGATCCATCGATACTACACGGGGATCGAAGACAGTGGGCGCAGTATGGCTTGGGAGATGAATGCTCCTCCTGCTGGGCATTCTGAGATACGAACCGGCTACCACCCAGCGGAAGCACGCGCCGCTTCTTCCCTTGCGGTCTGCGGTTTTCACACCTTGTTAGAGAGGTGTGAAAATTCTAACTAAACATTCTAAACCTGGTATCGGGGTGGTACTGTGCACGAGGCTCCATGCGTCAGAGCGCCTCCATGGGGTGAAAAGGTTCTTAGCATGATTTAAGGTCAAAATCACAGGAAGGGGGAACACACATTGCAGGAGGATACATCCACACATAGGAAAGGGCAATTCACAGTTAGGCAGCTGTCCTGCCACACAGCTCCCCCTTAACCAACAGCCGGCATACACTGCCTGATCCCGACGGATCAGCTGGGGTATGTCCGGGAAAGTGCTCACGGATCATTTATCTAGGGTTGTCTGTCGGGACAATCCGTCGGCATTGCCATTCTGCTTACCGGGTCTGTAGTAAATGGTAAACTCATACGGTAGCAGCCTGGCATTGTCCCCTGCAACCTGGTTAAGCCAGACCAACAGGTTGTGATGCGTGAGCAGGGTGAATTGCTGTCCATACAGATAGGGCTGTGGCTTTTTGAGTGCCCACACCACTGCCAGGCACTCCATCTTAATGGTGGCATAGCTTATCTCCCTGGGCAGCAGCTTCCTGCTGAGATAAGCCACGGGGTGTTCTCCACCATCATTCGCGACTTGGCTCAGCACTGCTCCAAACCCAAACATGGAGTCATCTGTGTGAACACAAAAGCATTTTCTTGGATTAGGGGAAGCCAGGACAGGGGCATTTGTCTGCATCCTTAAGGGCTTGGAATGCCTGCTCACACTCTGAGGTCCAGCATACCTGTCTGGGCGGTGAGGGTGAGTGTTTTTGCTATGGCACTGTAATTGGAGACGAACTTCCTATAATAGTCTCAAGGAAAGCCAGCACTTGGGTCTTAGTGAGGGGACGGGGCCAGCTAGCTACTGCCTCCACTTTGGCAGGCTCAGGCTTCTGTGTCCCACCCCCCACCCGGTGTCCTAGGTATTGGACCTCCGGCATCCCCAGGGCACACTTACTGGGTTTCAGAGTCAATCCTGCTTCCTTAATTCTGTCCAGGACAGCCCCTACATGTACCAAGTGTTCCTCCCAAGTATCACTGTATATGGCGATGTCGTCCAGGTATGCACAGGCATACTCCTGGAGGCAATCATCCGTTGGAAAGTGGCTGGGGCATTCTTCATCCCGAATGGCATGACATTAAACTGATACAGGCAAAAGGGGGTGACTAAGGCAAACTTGGGAACAGCATCTGCTGCTGGAGGGATCTGCCAATATCCTTGTGACGAGACCAATCTCACCACTGTGCATGGAGGAGCCTGGTTGCCCGTCTGCTGCCTGTAGACTATGGCCCCATGTTGAAACACTTGATTTTCCCCTGCAAAGACACGAAAGCTGGGTCATTCGGTGCTTGCCCAGTTTGAGCGGTGAAAGACTTTGGCTCCATGGCAATTGAACTGTATGTATGTGATCTGAGCGCCATTCAGTAATAATGTGCGCTCAGATCTGAGCTATCTGGGGATATGTTGAATGTACCTGTTTTATGCAATGGCTGCACAGTGATATATTTTTATGTATTTTATTGTCTTTTGCTGCCATGTGTTCAATGGAGTTTTGCCTCTGTCCTTGGAGATAATTGGATTACTTCCCAATTATCTCCAGGATAGAAGACTCTGTGGAACTGGTTTTGGGCAGAAAAGCCATGCTTCATTTGGTCAAAAAATGACTACGATCCATCTTTTGAACAACTGGACCAATTTGTATGATTTTGACGTTTGTTTGTATTTGGAGTATGCTGATTCTGAAAATGTATGTGAATGTGATGCATACTTTTAAAATTATGAATAATGTGGAAAAACTATTTCTCT